TAGGACTAGCTGAACTGAAAGACTTATACCCACATGATTTTAAGTTATATCTTGGAACAAATAGTAACTGTTTATTTTGAGAGTGAAGTGATCTGTAGTCATATAAGAGTTCAGATAAATATTGAGGAGCTGCGTTATTATGACATTTATACACTAATGTTAGTATTTTGTATTTGAACCGATTCAACGTTTACACCATGTTTGCACAATTTCAAGATCTTCTGACAGTTTTTCTCATTCTATACCTGATGAACAAATTTAGTTGTAGTTGTCCCGTTTATTGGATGGGGTATACGCATGTTTTAGATGACGTGCTACCAAACACAGCAAACAAAATGGTGTCGACAAATTCAAAAATTGCGTGCATTCTTGCCTGTACAAATGAACCGCAGTGTGTAGCGGTTGCTTTTCACAAACAAAGAAAAGAATGCCATCTTTATACGAGGAATGCGAAAGAACTGACTACAGATCCGGACCCTGGTATGGCGGTTTTCGTGATGATTACTGGTAAGTTTTAATTCTGTTCTTGTAGATTACTCGCAAAATTTTATACTGTTCTTTTGTATTTTTGATAAGTTGTTATACTATTCACGTAGATTACTCGCAAGTTGTTATACTATTCACGTAGATTACTCGCAAGTTGTTATACTGCCCTTGTTGATTACTCACAAGTTTATATACTGTTCGTGTTGATTACTCGCAAGATTTTATACTGTTCTTTTGTATTTTTGATAAGTTGTTATACTATTCACGTAGATTACTCGCCAGTTGTTATACTATCCTTGTTGATTACTCACAAGTTTATATACTATTCACGTAGATTACTCGCAAGTTGTTATACTGTCCTTGTTGATTACTCACAAGTTTATATACTATTCACGTAGATTACTCGCAAGTTGTTATACTGTCCTTGTTGATTACTCACAAGTTTATATACTGTTCGTGTTGATTACTCGCAAGTTTTTATACCCTTCTCGTTGATTATTTGACTAGAAATAAAATGTGCAGAGGGTAAATGAAAAATAAATCTAAAATCAGATTCGACATGCTTTACTTGAATCAAACAAATTCTGATATTGCTATTTATTGATGGACTATTGTTTTACTATTACTGTTTTAAATTCTTCTACAATTTCCATCCACTCTTTTTCAACTTTTTTGTTTAGATCTATGGCTATTTATGAGTGGCATAGTTTATGGTTATGTTCCTTTTTCGAAACTTTGTTCTGTAGATCTAAGGTTGGTTATCGAATTCAAAGGCTGTATGTTATATTTTATAGTTGTACCCCTTTAGAATATAGAATATAAGTTATGTTATAGATTATATTGTGTAGTTGTACCCCTTTAGAATATAGAATATGAGTAATGTTATAGATTATATTTTGTAGTCACACCCCTTTAGAATGGAATATAAGTTATGTTATAGATTATATTTTGTAGTTATACTCCTTTAGAAAGGAATATAAGTTATGTTATAGATTATATTTTATAGTTATACCCCCTTTAGAATAGAATATTAGAATATAAATTATAGTTTTACCTCTTTAGAATATAGAATATAAGTTATGTTATAGTTTATATTTTGTAGTTATACCCCTGTAGAATAGAATACAAGTTATGTTATAGATTATATTTTGTAGTTATACCCCTTTAGAATGGAATATAAGTTATGTTATAGATTATATTTTATCGTTAAGCCGCTTTAGAATACACATAAGTTTATATTTTGTAGTTATACCCCTTTAGCAAAGAACAAACGTCATGTTATAGTTTATATGTTGTATGTAGAAAAGAATATAAGCTTCTTATCCAAACTTCATAGCTGGTTAATTTCCATGGCAGACTGTTCTCTGTAGATACTTATGATTGTATTGCTAAATGTATTCTGGTCACATAACTGATTCATTGCCATGACAGGCTGTTGGTTTACTGTTCTCTGTAAATGAACTGTGGAATAAAGGGAAATGAGCTATTTTAACTCACCATTAACAACATAACTTATAACCACGATTTAATTTGGTTTAATAAAATGTTCATAGGATGTCATATAGACACCGACCAATAGCCAACCTATTGAGATTCATCATCCTTGTCTTCACGCATATCCGTGTTTATTTCATTTCTTATATTTTGTATACGGTGAACAGTCCATATGCTGATTACTGTATTTTGCCTATATCGTTGTTTTATGGCTTCGAATTTTGTCTAATGGTTCGGATTGTTCGTACTTGGTTTTCTTTTATTTACAGATGGCAGTAATCTGGCTAGTCTAAACTCCCCATCAACAAGCTCTGTTGGTGTAGTACAACCAGCCACAGCAGCTTTAGATAACGACAATAATACCTGTTTTCAAACAGACCAATATGATTATCAACCTTGGTTCCTCCTGGATTTGATGGACACATTTCTAATTCGTTTTATAGTGGTTTACAACGAGGCTGAATACCGTAAGTACTGCGTGTTATACTTATCGTACGCATTTATGTGTCACATCCCAAATATATGTGTGTCATACTGGTTTACCGTAAGTATATATCTATCATACTGTTTTATTGTATGTATATATGTAGTTACTTTTTAAGGTATCAGCTCTACTCTCTACTACGTTACTGCCGCGTGATCTGTACAACTAATATGAAAATAAGGCTTTTCCCCCATCTCGGTTCTAAGGCTATTTTGGAATCCTTACCGTCTATTTTACACCGTGATTCTTTTTTAATCGCCAAAAGGAATCATTTTTTGTCACATCCGACACAAAGTTATAAAAAAAACAACACTACATGTATTTTCATGTAGAATTATGCGATACAAAAACAAAAACAACTCTCATTTGAATTGGTCGCCATTATCAAACTCACGCTCAACCAATATTCCAAATTTAGGAATAGAATTTTACCGTAAACGGTAAGGAATCCAAAATATCCCTAGAACCGGGATGGGGAAAGCCTTATTTTCATATCAGTTGTATAGAGCAGGCGGCAGTAACGTAGTGGAGAGCAGAGCCGATACTATACCTTACTAAAGTAACTAGTATATATGTGTCCTATATATGTAGGCTTATCGTACGCATTTATCGAAGTGTATATGTGTCATATTAGTTTATCGTAAGTATATAATTATATGTCATTCTGGGTTGCCGCGCCGTATGTATTTGTTATAACGAAGTATGTGACATATTGGTTTATTGTTCATATATATGTGTCCTACAGGTTTATTGTAAGTATATAATATGCGGCATACTGGTTTATCGTGAGCATAAATGTATCATTCTGCTTTATCTTGAGTATATGTGATACAAAGTTCTTCTTAAATTTGTCATACTGGTTTATCGTAAGCGTGTGTCATACTGTAAGTAAGTATATATCGCGCCAGTTACACCCACCAATGCAATATCAAGGCGCTAACTGTACACTGCAGTATATCATTTAAATCAACGTATTGTCGCATTTTGTTTAAACAATTCGATTCGAGTGAATTTGAAATTTTAAAAACTTATGGTATGCCGTCCCATAAGATCCCTGCATTATATGTGACATAATTATATATAACCGACATTTAGGTGCGCCTGGTTTTATGAAAATAGATTTAACATTTCTGCTTTTGTAGCTGTGCAAATCTTAGGCTAAGGTTGCAGTATAGTATATATGTAAATACATTATAGTCGTCATGTAGCTAGAGTTCGTAGAAATATACTTAATCTTTTAAATAAAAAGTGCAGTATGTTCAAATAAATCGAAACTAAAGAGGAATTTTCTCGGGAAACACAATAACCTCACCTACAACCTCTGCGGCTCCCGTTTTCTTTGCGATAATTACGTATCAGACGAGGGAAGAAATTAGACGACACTGAAAACACATGCAAGATGACACAGGCGAGTATTCCGATTGTCAATAAATTGTAAGTTAATACATTACAGCCCTGGTGTAGCTAGAATTATTACAAACATACTGAAAGTCTCATTGCGTCATGTTAGAACAAAAAGAAAACCGCTTGCTAGCCTGGAGGTCGGGTGTTCGATCCCTGCATTGGCCGAGAAAGGACAGCTGTCTAGTCGTTCGGATGGGACGAAAAACCGAGGTCCCGTGTACACATTGTCGTGCACGTAAAAGATTCCTTGGCAGATGGAATTCGATATAAGAGTTGGCCGTAGCGCCGCTGCCCGGGCAAAATTTCCCTCATAGCACACTTTATGGCGTATGCCCGTCTTCATTAGCCCAGTTTATGAGCAAAACAGTAGGACGTTAAACCACATTTGATTTCATTTCCTATTCTAAATCTGATTGAAGTCAGGAGATTATCTTAGCGTTGGTATTTTGATTTGGTTTCTTAATTAAATGTGACATAATGAATCTGGGTACATATAACATGGATTACATCGTGACAAATTTGTCATTTTAGTGAAAAATTATTCAAATTCAATCTGATTAGAATACAGATCTATATTTCGTTTCGTTTTTTTTATACTTTCGATGGCCTACATGAAGATCGTGACAAGTTATAGCGATAAGTCACGTCAGGGGTCAAAAGACCGACTTTTGACCTATGACGTCAGACATTTGATTAACCAATCAGCATTGATGTTACTAGTGGATTACCCACAGTTCCGGGCAAAAAAGGTCAAACAATCGATTCGACAGACCATTCGATTGGCTGACCCCTCATTTCAAGCAGAACACGAGTTAAATAACAAGTCTTCCAGATCCAAGTGTAGTAAAGACAAGTAAAGCGAAATTTTGAACTATAAAAACGAAACGAAATAGGATCTGTGTTTTAACCAGATTGATTCAAATCGTTACTTCAATGGCGGGTATTTAAACTGCATTATATTTCTAGCAATACACCACAATTTCTAGCGTTGATATTGCTTTCCTAATTAAATGTTAAATTGTCAATCTGGGTATTTATGAGCCATGAGAAATTTGAAATTTTAGCACAAAATGCAAATGACGCATCTTCACTTTAATGGTCGACCATTTAACAACATGTCTGTCTTTTCCAGCTGAACGCCTGCATGATGTTAATTATGAAGTCTATGATGCTGATCCAACAATAGGCAACTCTTCAGAATCTAATTGTTGTGCTTCGGTGGTTGATTACACTACAGGTAAAAACATCATCAGGTGTAATAAGGGCGTCCAAGGTAGATTTGTGAAGATTTCCATAGAAAAGTCCAATTTCTTAACTCTGTGTGAAGTGGAAATTTATGGCACCCTTGGTAAGTATTCCATATTATATATATTTATATGTGGGATCGAAAAAGAAAAGAAATGAAATGAAATGGGGTTTAACGACCTGCTGTTCTGCTCCGAACTGGACTAATGAAGACGGCCATACGCCATACAGTGTGCTATGAGGGGAATTTTGCCAGGACAGAGGCACTACGGCCTACTCTTATATCGAATTCCAACTGTCAAGGGATCTTTTACGGGCACGCCAATGTGTACACTAGACAGCTGTTCTTGCTAGGCCCTCTGTCCGGATCGAAAAAGACTACCATACCGATACGACGGAACTTTACAAGAGTTAGAATGTAAGATTGTTTCTCGTATGCCTGTTTTGGTATGCCCTACTGGTCTGCTCTGACTTGACTAATGAAAACGGACATACGTCATACAGTGTGCTATAGTCTTTTAACGAATTACAACTACCGTGATAACTGTCGTGTTATTAGAGACAAGCATATCAGAAGTTGTTTTATGTATTTAAGCCCTACCTTATAGTAACGAACAACTGATCAGTATCGATGAACTATTGATTAGGCTCTCCGATCGGTTAAATCTTCTGTATCATTAGTTCTGCAACAAAGTCCTTTATATTGATTGCGCATTTATAAACTTTGTTTTAGTGAATGGAACGAGTGACACCTGTAATCAAAGATATGAATGTAATAAATTACCAGGTAAGACGACCATATATATACATTTTACTTACTCTTTTAAACGTCATCATTTTAATTGGGATTAAAATACATATGTGACGTCATCCTTTGATGTCGGCGTGCCATTATTTCCAATAATGTACGGACAACTTGCCAATCGTACATTATCTATACTAGATGAAACATTGGACTCGCGTGACGTATTTTATTAAAAAGCACGTGCGGGATAGTGTCTGTATTTTAAGTTGTTTAATTGTCTCGAGCTAAAGAGAGAGAGAGAGAAATGGGGTTTAACGTCCACTCGACACAAACTAGGTCATTTCGGGACTAACATATGGTTTTATTTTATTTCAATAATTCGCTTGCGCGTATGGGTCTTTAGCAGTGGGAGGAAACCGGAGGACCCGGAGAAAACCCACGAGGTTGGACAGGCGACCCTACTCCTTGTCACGTACAACCGGGGATTCGAAACCACGCCAGTCGACTCAATGACAGACTTTATGATACAGCGCGCGCACGCTAACCATTCAGTCATCCAACCCCCCTCTCGAGCTAAAGACATTGCGTAATATATTGAAGCAACACTCGACTAACGCCTCGTGCAGTATCAATATATTACTTAATATCTCGCTCTCGACCATTAAACCATACATATATAGCGTTCACTCAACGTCCATTGATGTTTTGACGAGATATTAAATTGCATTTCATGCTGTTAATTTCGTGTTCTAATCAGTGACGAAGTTTATTAACATCTGAAACTTTCTCGATCCCAGAGATAATTTGACCCTTTGTAAACTCGCCGGCCATTAATCAGTATCAGATCGGTTCCTAAGATCCACCCACTGTGGCTTCTGATTGGCTTGATTTGTTTGAATGAAATGCTGTCGATTTCTCGACAGTTAGGCATCAGTTGGTTGCATGATTTACATAATTATTGACCCATGGAACAATTTCCACATCTTGACTTACCGGGAACTTATTTCTAACGCGCAATGTGCGTGATTTGGCTTAGTAAGTGCAATTTCTGAAGAAACGCGGGCACTGATCTACCTTGGATCTACGTGAAGCAACAAGCGGAAGGAAACATCACGTGACATTCAAAATCTGTCAACGTATGGCTGGTGACCAGAGATAAACGAAGGGTAAAATTATCTCTTGGAACAAGATTGTATCTGAACGTGGACCCTATCAATATAATGGTCTGGGTGCTAAAGGGTATTACGTGGTTTTGGTACAATAATTATAATGAATGTATTCTCTGAGGGAGAGAGAGAGAGGGGGGGGGGGTTAACGTCCACTCGGCACAAACTAGGTCATTTCGGGACTAACATATGGTTTAATTCAATAATTCGCTTGCGCGTAGGGGTCTTTAGCAGTGGGAGGAAACCACAGGACCCGGAGAAAACCCACGAGGTTGGACTGAGGGAATATATCTAGTACATGTCATGAGATCTAATTTTCAACATGTCCCTCCCATTCTATAAAACCAGCCTCTACAATATTTACACATATTCACAAAGTAAATATATATAAGCTTATCTAGTGGTAAAAATGGCAAATAAACACACATTCAAAAGACAACAGTAATCATTAACAAGGCTAAAAAGATTCGACATGTTTTACTAACTCCTTTTTGAAGATAAAACATGAAGACGCATGCTTCACAGTTTGAGGTAGTGAATGCCAGAATAAAGAAACGGTATATAGAAATGTTCTTGTCATTGTATTTTTCTTACTTTTTTGGAATTGCTAATTTAAGTTGACTTTCCTACCTCAATGGCATTGTATTTCCGGGCAATTTAGACTTTTCCCAGATTATGTTATATAACTATGATGGTATAATTTGTCTGTTAGAATTTTGAAAGTGAGCCTTCCCTGATTGTATTGTTTGCCTTGGTAGATTATAAGTCAATTAGATATCCAAATAAAGGTGTCGAATGGGAATCGCGTTTTGCATCCAAAATGTTCCATGTCTCACATTTTTGAAGCCGATATGTAACCGGGTCCAATTTAATAAAAAAACGAGGCTGTTTAATTCTTTATTAAAAAAAACCTGTAAAAATAAATATACATACATAGAATTAACATCACCAACATTTAATTTATAATACATATAATACACTTTAAAACACATCAAACATTACACTGTATTATATTATTATACTATATGTTTAATTCAAACCGGTACTCATATCTTATAATATCTCTAATTATTAGATAATACATAACATATATAAAATAACATACACTAGAAGGGGTTTTAAAGATCTCTGTGTTGAAACAACACAACCATATAACTCACTAGCAGCTAGAAGGTATCCTATATAAACAAATGATTCTATGATTATTCTATGCTAAAACTAAACGTAAACCAAACCTAATTACTAAATGATAATACTTATCGCTTAAGAGCTGTTGAATATGTATAAATGTATTTTACTGTGTATGTAAAGAATAATATATGAAATAACTAATTTACACATCTTACATTCACCACATCCCCAGACAATACCAATGATATTCAAATACACATACCTTAATTCGATCAATGAAGACTTGACCAAAATATCTTCAATAACTGCAATAACTTACAAACTTTGACGCAAAATACAAGTTTAAGATTTGGAAGATAATCTTATGCATCCGACACCTTCAAAGTCCTAAGTTAAACTGATGTTGATTGTTACCTATGTAACCCAGGAAGTTGGGTTTGTTAGGAAAAGTATCCAAGGAGATGATGATGTGATAGTCACTGATGTTGTTACAAAGACCTGTCCATAAGCTGAACATCCAGTGACTATGAATAAAAGGGTTCAAAGATCAGATGAAAGTGAAAGTTTGTTATTGTTTATTAAGCTGCTGTCAGTGTAGTGCAGTGTAGACTAAAACCTATTATATAATTAAAACACCCAAATTCCACACTATCACAGATACAGTACCTCTATATAACCATAATATGGTAGATATAGTCGTTGAAAAATAATATTCTAAGATGGTTTTGGAGGATATAATTTTGGCAATTGTGTTAATTTGGATTTCCAATCTAAATGTTGATCCAAAGTATGTCCTAAAGCACAGCTTCAGATACATTTTCTAACAGTTCTCCATTATTTATAATGATAAGCTGCTAGTGTTTGAAGTCAGCCTCCTTTGACCTGTCCTTAAAAAAAACTCACTAAGTCTAGCCGTAGTCTACTTAAATCTGAATACAGTAAACTTAATCATTTCAAATAATTATTTTTCAGGCGGTGAAAATATTGCTTTAGGAAAACCAACCGAACAGACCTCGTTTCTTCATGCAGTTTATTCGTCTAGTAAGGCCGTTGACGGAAACAGGAATGGCATGATGTCTGTGGCGAGTTGTCAAGCTACTGCTGCCGACGATTATAATCCTTGGTGGCAAGTTGATCTAGCATCGACGTATGACATCACAAGTATAACTATATCTAATAGATATGACGACAAAAGTTGTAAGTCAATGGAGGGGGATATGGGCTCATACTGAATACGAGAAAATAAAAATGTATTTATCAACTTAAAGGGGCATTATGCGGGATTAGATAAAGAGTTCGCTGTTCTCGCTATAATAATTAAAAATAGATAAAGTAAATAGAATATGCTGAAAATGTCAGGCAAATTGCTTCACTCTGAACCGAGATATTAGCGATGGGATTTTAGGAAAATATATAATACAAAGTCTCGATTGTCCATTTTGACGTTAAATCATCCATGACAAAACTTATTCAAATCCTCAGACTATCGATGACATCAAGAGTTGATAATGGTCTGGATAAGTTAATTAATGCCTAATTAATAATTTAAATAACATTTCAGTCCCTTTAACTAAACCCCAAATCAACAAACAATCTATTAATATTCGCAGATTTATTGAGGTAAAACACTAAACTAAGATAAAACAATACCACATGCGGATTTGCTATGGGAGGTGGGATGGGGCAATGTATATTTCAGGTGGGTGTTTAGGGGGTTGAGGTGGGGGGGGGGGGCTTGAAAATGTTTGTATATTAGCAGTGTCGGCCCACGGTGCTAAGTGGGTAAGACGCTGGCTCGCTAGTCTGGAGGTCGGGTGTTCGATCCCAGCATTGGCCGAGAAAGTTCATCGGGATTTTTTTCCTGACGGGGTTTCCCCTTGTCAGTGGTGCTGGACAGAGGGCCTGACAAGGACAGCTGTCTAGTCGTTCGTATGGGACGAAATACCGAGGTCCCTTGCGTATACATTGGCATGCCCGTTAAAGATCACTTGGCAGTTGGAATTCGATATAAGAGTAGGCCGTAGCGCCGCTGTCCGGGCAAAATTCCCCTCATAGCACACTGTATGGCGTATGCCCCTTTTCATTAGCACAGTTCAGAGCAAAAAAGTACGACGTTAAACCTATTTCATTTCATTTCATATTAGCAGTGTACTTCTGAAGAATCCCTGTCGGGGTAACATGCATCAGTGACAGACAGTCCCCTCATACCTACCCCCGGTCCCGTTTGTAAATCGGTAGTGTACCTAAAACAACACTGTCTTGGCAGTTGGAATTCAATGAATGAATGATAGACAGAATCAACGCGTTCTGGGCAATATTGGAGGCCTTAACCTGTAGCTATTTCGATGTTTCTTTCAGATTATGGAACATGGTTATCTAATGTGAGTGTAATTGTTTATGATTCATATCCTACTCTCAGTACTACAACTTCCAAACTCTGTGTATTTATACCTGGAGTTTTCGGAGGTACAGTCAGAACATTCGAGTGTGATGAGAAAACAGTGGGCAGGTTCATCAAGATAACCAAACCAACCGATCATCTAAATATGTGTGAAGTCGAGGTGACTGGTATACAACAGTAACAAAAGTCGAGGTGACTGGTATACCACAGTAACAAAAATTGACAAACTTTTAAAACTCTGGGTTTTCTCAGGGTAGTCCCCTTTCCTCCAACAGCTAGGGACCCCCACACGAAAGCGAATTATTGAAATAAAATTGAACTATATGTTAGTCCGGAAATGACCTG